GCTTGGCATTTATGTCTAAATGGAATTGCAGCTGGAGAAAAAGGGGATTTCAAGCTTTCAGAAATATTCCTTTTTTTTTTTTTTTTTTACAAAAATAATCATGATAGAGTAAGAGAACCTTAATTTAGAGAAAAAGAGAAGTTGCCTTAGGTTTCAGATGCTCACAGCAGGGAGCGGAGAGGGATGCTTTTGCTCTTCTCTCATGTCTATTTTCTTTATTGATAATTCCATTAACCTGTTGGTTTTAACTATCATGGGGAGTAAGGGGGACCACCTTCCAAAACTATTCCTTCAATTATCATCTCTTATGTGTCCAACTCCTTTTTCCAGCTCTCCCCAGGAGACCCTGTCCAGAATGACTCCATCTGCTCAAATACAAAATACCACAGGGAAATCTTTTTTGTCCCTCTGTCAGCAATTCTTCCATTCAGTCTATCATCATCATCATCATCATCTTATAAAATAGGCACAAAATCATGGTGCTTCTCCTCAGCTCCCATTATTGCTAATGTCTAATGCTTCTGCCTGCCATTTTGGCCCACCCATTTCTGTCTCTTCTCCTGCTCACACCAACTGAAGCACTCCTAGAGGCCTGGACATTCCCAGTAGGTTCCCTTTTATGTTATTTGTTCTCGCCCCTTTCCCTGTGTGGAAATCCCTTTCACCATTCCATAGTCCTCTCTTATGTCAACAATTTATTCTAATGCCAGTTTCACATAGCCTTCCTGATCCTTCTGTCAAAGGTATTTCCTTCCTATCCTGAATTCTCCAAGCTCTTACTCTGTATCTTTCTTATGGAGCACACTTCTAACTTAACTGAAATTGTATTTGTGAGCATGCACACTATATATCAGGCACCTATGAAGGCACTCTAAATACATTTTAACTAATCATTTCAGCCCTGTAAGACCTGGAAAGGCCCCTACCCCAGAGATCCATATTTAATTGGTCTTGGGTACAGCTTGGACATGGAGACTTTTTTTTTTTTAAGTAGGCTCCACACCCAGCAAGAAACCCAATTTGGGCACCTCTGGACATGGAGATTTTTAGGTACTCCTGGGGTAATTCCAATGTATTGCATGGTTGAAAATCACCAGTTTAACTCCAAACCCACTTAGCCAGATATTCTCCAAGAGTAGATATCACCTTTGAAGCTTCAAAGAACAAATAAATGCTAGACCTCATCCCAGTCCCACTGAATTAAAATATCTAGGAGACAAAGTCTGGGAATCCACATGTTGATAAATCTCCACAGGTCATTCTGTCACATAACCAGGCTGGAGAACCACTTTCTTTATCAGACACTGTGTCATCTCCCAAGAGCACTGTATTACAAGTAATTACACGTGTCTCCTCCCACGGTGTAATCTGTAAACTCTTTGAGGACAGGTTACATTTGAGTCACTGTGGTCTGCTCCCTGGCACCTAGCAAGGTCCCTTGCACATAGTATATTTTAGAAACCAAAGCACCAATATTAGGTGCTTTGATGAAGAAAACAAAAATGCCTTTTTAAGAAAACAAAGACACCTTTACACTGAATTTATTCACTTTATACTGGGTTTTTAATCTCTACTGTACTGATCTAGAAAGTCAATATGTCATTTCAGTTCTTTGAGCATCATAGTTGCATGTCTGTACAGTGCCAGGGCTAGGACTTAAACTCAGCTCTTCTGACAATACTCTGTCTTGTAGACCTCAGGCCTTCAAAGCAACTACAAAGTGGAAAAACTCAACTATCTATGTGTTTCTGTATGTGCGTTCAGACATGTTTTTAATATTTTATATAACCTGCCACTTGGGGGGAAAATGTCTGCATTATGAAATGAATTTGGAAAAATACATTAATTTCAACCTAAAAATTAAGTATGGAACTTAACAGATATCCCTTTCTTCTCATCAGTCTCAACCTCCCTCATCTCCAGAGGTACTTACCGACAAACATATCCTTTGACGTTTCTTAACTGTTTAGTTACCGCATTAGGGTTTTTTTTCCTCTTCATCTTAATTTGTACTGCTTCTCAAAGACTTTTCAAATAACCTGAGCTTCTGGTTATAAGTGAAATATTTTTAAAGATTAATATACAGTTTACTGAAGGTAGTAAATTGGCATCTAGTATAAACTTGTGATGTTGCATCCAATAAAAATATGCACATAAGCGTAACAAAGTTGAAATGACCCTCTAACAACACCTAGATACCTGGGTTCTGAGCTCTTTTTGCCATTTCTAAGCTAGGCAATTCTGGGCAGGGAATGGACTTTTCAGAAGCTTCTTTTCCACATTAAAAAAAAAAATGAAAGAGAGAAGGACCTAAGGTAGACCCTCCTAAATTGTCTCCCAAACATGAAAGTTTATGATCCTTTAAAATAAGAATAATTCATTTATTAGGCTTTGGGTCAAGATTAAATTAGTCATCAGTCCTGATCTTTATTATTCAGTTGATATTTTGAAGGCCAAACAGAATTATAATGAAATTTGGACACTTCTTCACAAGGTAGAAAGTATTCACCTCCATTACCTCTTTTCATTTTCTTTTTTTTTTTTAAGTTTCTATTTATTTATTCATGACAGACAGAGAGAGAGGCAGAGACATAGAGAGAGAAGCAGGCTCCTCGCGGGGAGCCCGATGCGGGACTCGATTCCCGGACCCGGGATCATGCCCTATGCCAAAGGCAGACACTCAACAGCCAAGCCATCCAGGCGTCCCCTCTTTTCGTTTTCTTAATAACGTCCCTGCAGAATGCTCCTTATTATCCCCATTTCACAAAAAAGAAAATTGAGATGCAGAAAGTTGTGTGACTTGTCCTGGGTAACAAAATCAGAAAATGACAAATCTAGACCCCTACGGGACCTAACTTTTGACCTCCCTCAACACCCTCATGGCCACAGGCAAAGCCAGAGATGGGGGATAGGCAAATCTGACATGCACACAGCTCCCCCGCTAGCTGCCTCTGTGCCTTCCCAAAATGTTTTCTAGCCCAGAAGCCCATAAATTGCTTTGGAATAGAATACCAAGTGAGGATTTATTTATCATATCATTTCTGAGTGCATATTTTCTTGAGCATTTATAGATCTGTTTTTCCAAGAAGCTAAGAGTTCCTGATAAAACACGACAGATAATGATAAATGAGCATCTATGTAAGCCTAGCTGGGAGGAGGACCAGGGACTGTTAACACCCCTCCTGTGAAGTTAATCCCATTTCTTTTAGCTATTTCTTTATTAGTTAATGAGGTCTTACAAAAATGTGTGTCTGTGATGGTGTTTTAGCATCCTTGCCTCTAGGAACATTTTCAAATATTCATAAAGTAGCTCGTCTGACCAAAGCTTAAAGCAAAGGTGCATTGAGTATGAATTTTAGTCAACTTCAAATGTGGGTGGTCACAAAGCTGCTCCTGAAGTATCCTCAGTAATCTCTCTCATTGGCATCTCCAGATCTGCAGCGCTGGGTGCAAATGTGAAGGGGAACCAGGGAAAAGGTATTATTTAGGACACCAGGACTCCAAAGGGTAGCCCTGTAAGCTTTGATCCTGCCTCCTGACTGACAGCAGTGTGGCTTTCTTTTAGAAAACTGAATAACTTAAGGGAAACAAAAACAAAATGAGAAAGGAATTACCAGTCAAGCCCCTGGGAAGGAGAGCAGTGGCTAGTTCTTATTGCTCCTGGGAAGCCAGAGACCCACTTTCCCACTTGAGTTCCTTATGGTGAAGAAGGAAGAGTACAGTCTCAAAAAGTGGTTTGGTGCTCAGTGATGCATTTTTAGAGAGGCAAACCAAGGGCATGAACTTGGTTAACGACTAAACTGGGCTCCCTGATACAATGGCTCACAGTGATTACATCTACAGCCCAGTTTTGGAGGGTCCCCTGCACCACAGCACAGTCCTAGGAACACAGCTGGAGGACACACACAGGGGGACGCACATGCATCTCCAGCAGCCTCCTCTCCCCACGCATCCACGCACACGACGACTTCCATCATCCCAAAAGCACACAATCCCTGATGCTTTTCCACCCTTTTATGATTTCGTTTCCTCAAAACATCACTTAAGGAAATTGACATTATGGCTGCCCTTCTATGTGTAGTTTATAAGCAAAGGGATTTTTTCAAAGGGCATCTGTAAAAATACTACTTAAGTTGTGTGAGGAAGATGAACCACTTTACTTTGGTTCTGGCTGGCTTGGACTATCTGTGGTATACTTCGGCTAAGAAACCAAAAATCACGGTCCAATATTCTCCCACCTGTTTCTGCACAGGAAACCGAAATGAGCCACCAAAACGGTGCAGATTTCCTGATCCTACTTTAGAATGAGTTCGAGGAACAAATGATAGGCCAAGCTCCTCTGAGCTTCAACCCCATAGGGCAGTGCAATAAATCACAGTAGTACTGGTAGCTCAGTGCCTTCTGACATGGAATATCTATGTTCTGAAGGGCCCATTCATGTCATTGCCACTAAGACTTGTATTAATTGGAGTCTTTTGGCCTTTTTGCGTTATCAACCCCCACTCCTACCCCCAGTGAACCAGTGAAGGAAAGTTCTGGGCCATACTTCTGAAAGGAGATGGCCATGTAATTCCACTCAGTACAGATTTGGAAACAGACAAGCATCATCCATTAACAAGGGCAGACAATTCAACCATTTGCCTTTGCAGCTCATTGCTCAACTCTCTGGTCATTTTAACTGGTTGTACATTTCCTCTAAATCTTAAAAAAAAAAAAAAAAAAAAACAGAGGGCGAGAGAAAAGAAGAACGGGAAAGACAAAGTCTTGAAAATAGCAATAGCATGGTAATAATGCTGCCTTGAGAAAAGCTCAGCATATAATATTATTACTCTTATGTCCCTGCCTTGGGGACATTGAGGGCACTTTGACAGCCATTATCGTTACAGAAGATACAAGCTAATGCTGGTCGTTCCAGACATAATTTTGCATTTCTCAAAAGAAATACTGTTACGTCCCAGACGTAAATGTGACTGTGTCCTGTCCTTAATGTTCTGTTACAGGTGATTCACATCACGGGCCGGCTACGACTGAGGGTGTCTCTCTCCCACGGGAGGACCGTTCCCAGCCAAATCATGGGTCTTGTGGTTGTGGCTCATGCCCTGCCTCCCCCTACGATCAATGAAGTCAGAATTGACTGCCATATGTTCGTCACTCGAGTAAATATGGACCTCAATATCATTTACTGTGAAAATAGGTACTTTGTTTTTGTTCTCATTTCCTCTGTTGTACGCTACACGTTGGTGAAGGTTGGCGTTTGCAGCGGTCGGAAGGATTTTACTCTCCCAGCGAGGCTCATTAGAAATCCTGATCTTATTTTTAATGGCTGCTTGGACTGACACCAAACATGCTTTTTATTTAAAATCTACATTGCTGTCCTGATTTCCATTAGGGACGACAATGGAATGAATCGGGATACCCAGACATCCATATGCTATAATTAAGACCCATTTTGGCCGAGAACCCAAGGAGAGAGCAGGGCTGAGATGTTCTTGGCAAAATTATGCAGCAAAAGGTATCTCCTGATGCCTCGGCCAGCCCCACTCCCTGACTACTGTCCAGGCCCAGCCTCGGGAGGCTCAGGGTTCACAGAGGTGTTCAGCACATTGCCTCAGCTGCTTGAGGGCTGCTAGAACGCGTCACCACACACCAGGGGGCTTACCCGACAGACATTTCTCTCTCACAGTTCTGGAGACTGGGAGGTCCAAGGTCAAGGTACAAGCTAATGAGGTTCCTAGTGAAAGCCCCCTTCCTGGTTTGCGGCCTGGTAAGCGGCCTTCTTGCTGGTCCCTTCCTCTTCTTATGAGGACACTAATCCCATCATGGGGGCTCCATCCCCAGGACCTCATCTAAACCTAGTTACCTCCCAAAGGCCCCACCTCCTAATACTATGGCATTGGGTGTAAAGGCTTCCATAGATGAATTTGGTGGTGGGAGGGACATATTCAAGCCACAACACATGTGGGGGGAGAAATGAGAATTTGAGGCCCCCAGAGGGAAAAGGATGAAAAAATCTGCAAACCTATTAAATAAAACGTTGTAATCCTGATGTTTGCTATCATAAATTAAAAAAAAAAAAAGACTCATCATATAAACGACTTGGCAGTCCTTCCTTAACACCGAGCTTTGATAAAAGGACTTTTTAACCTCTGGTTTAAAAGTTCATTTTTTCCATTAAGCACAAAGCAAGGGACAAGGAAACGGGACAGTGCCCCCTCAGACCTTTCACCCAGAAATCACCAGCCCATCATCAGACGGATTTGAGGAAGAGAGAATCACGGGGCACAGGAAGAAGAGTGAAGGGGAACCATCCACAAATTGGTCATGGGAAGGAAGCTTCCTTGATACCATCCATCTGCTGGTGCCACAGGCAGAATCATTGAGGCAGTTTTGAGAGGGTGCTTTTGTGGCATGGATTATTGTCAGGCATGAAGGTAGTATATCCTTGGTTCACCAAGCCCTGGTAGTGCCTTCAGAGGCGAAATGCAAGAGCATAATGGTCAAGTAGCTCAGATAATTGACCTTTCCAGGGCCTAGCCAAGAGGAATATAGCCAGCATCTACATTCAGCCCACTGGGAAGTTCTGAGGATATTGAGACCAAGTTAGAAATGCGTACCATTTCTGGTCAGAATTGGATTCAAAGGAAAGAATTCTCCAGGAGAAAAAAAAAAAAACACCCACCTGAGCTATTAGTGTTCCATGGGGGAGAAGATACCATGCACCTATCACTCTTATTGAATAAGTAACTCTAAATCTGTTTTTCAGGTTTTGTTGGCATTTCTTTAAATTGTGATCATTGTGACTGTGTACTTGGCTATGTGTAAGGTATTCTGGAATGGCAAAAGAATATCAGGAAAGACAGCAAAATGATTAGCAAGGATTAGCAAGTAATAATAAAGATAGTTAGCTTTTGTTGAACGCTTAGTACACACTCGGCAATATGCGAAGCTCAGCATATACATCATCTCATTTAAGCTTCAAGACAGTTCTGTGAGATGAGTGTTGCCACCGTCTTCATCACCCTCAGGCCATTTCAGTTTAGAGAGGAAGGGTAAGTGATATGCCCAAGGTCACAATTTGAACTCGAAACGTGCCAGATTTTAAAACCAGGCATTTAGCCACATGTGGGCCTTCCTGCATTACTTGTCACTTTTTTTTTTTTCTAGAGAAGTCAGGCCGATTGCTAAGCAAGCAGTCCAACTAACCAGTGAAGGAGACCTGTCATATCTATGCATCCACTGAAGAACACAGTCCTAGTGCACAAAGCTGTGTATCCTGATTAAAAATATAGAATACTGGAGATGAAGCTCCAACCCAGGGAGGCAGATAGAAAGTCTGATGCTACCTGTGGCTTTACATCTTTGAAAACCTATGTTGGGCTCCCTTGATTTACATTTTACTACCATTACTCCCTCCGAAAAACAGAGCCTCATCTTATTTACCTACTCCTGATGATTGTCCTATCCCAAAACCCTCACTTAATTTTCATTCCTGTGATCAAAGATTGATTAATTCTACTTCATGGACCTGAGTGCCTTATGGTGCCACTCCAATAATTGAGATCATTTTCTGTGACCCACTTTAAGCCTTTTTTCTTCCCTTAAAAAAAAATTGTTTTCCACAACCCCTCATTAGCCAATACAATACGGCATTAATTCTCAACTGATGATATAAATTATTTTAAAAGGACCTGTGTTAAAAGTAACTGCTTATTTGACCTGAGGAGACAGCATACCTTATGTGCCAGCCACTGTGCTATGTTCATTTCATTTCATTCATTAATCCCCTGGCCAATCTGTTAAATTGCTTTTATACATAAGGAAACTGAGGCTCAGAGTACAAGGTACCATCAGGATTCTGATCCTGATATAGGTTCATCACACTGGTCTGGGGCTTTCTATACATATATTAAGAGGTCTCTGGACACCAAGCTGGTCACATTCGCCACAGTCACTGGCTCTGGTACATAGAAGTGCTTCAAATATTTTGAAGGATTTCATTCCAATAAAGCATAAACTAAAGAACATCTTCCCTAAAGTATGGCTGGCTTTTCCCCAGGGTTTATTGGTTAATTAGGGAACTGCTACTAGCAACTCAAGCCCTCTTCTGAACTCTAGAGACCACTCTTCTCCCCTGCATTCCCTAGGACGGCCGCACACAGAACTGACATCAGATGCTTTCAGAGGAGCTGGCAAATTTCAGAAACACCAATGAGGGCCTTTTAATGACATCCTTGTTCACCCATTTATAGAAAAGGGGTATAAACAGAGCTTGGAAAGGTGCTAATGGTTTTAGGAAAACACCAACTAATAATCTGCCTTGCTACCAGAAAACCATGGGGTTATAAAGCTCTTCATACTGCCCCCATTTTGTCTCGTCTTACCAAGAATTCTAGTTTGGCCAAAAATCTTATTTAATATTAGACATTGAGAAATCCACTCACTGGGTAGTACATTTTAATTGTATTCCCCATTATTCTGGTTTGGTTTTGTTCCTTATTTCCCTGCCTTGGAGGTCAGCTTGAACTCTCCAGCAGTGATCTCAGAGGTTTCTTAAATATGTTCTTTCTAAAGACTCACTTCCTGTTTGGCTCTGTCATAAGCCATAAACCATAAAAAGCACAGAGACAGTAAAGAGAATAAACAAAAGATATGTTCCGTTTTGGACTGCCCAAAACCAATCTGTACCTGGACAGGGAGGAGGATAATAAGCATTTTGACGTCTTTGTGTAAATCAGGGCAGATTCCACCCCCCCCCAACATGTTTTCCAATTTCTGTTCTATTTTTCTGTGCTCCTGCCTGAGGACATTGACGTGTGCACAATCAATGACACGGGCTTACACACACGTACTGTCAAGCACAAGCCTGGAAGAGCTGCTGAAATGGTTTAAAAGTTTCTGTGTGGAATCCACCACAAAGTACCAGTTAAAAGGGCCAGGAGTGAAAGCTGAGCTCCCAAATGACTGAGGCTGAAAAAGATAATACCCCCAGGCATCTGTATGTCTCAGCATTTAAATTATATCCCTTGAATGCCAATTTGGACTTTGTGCCAAGAAGCAGTTGAAGCCCTTTTTCATGGAAATACCCAATAGAAGACCAATCTGTTTAAATGAAAGGTGTCTCTAATCATTTGGTATCACCATAACATGTTTTTATTTTATTATGTAACCTTGAATTATCTTGGCCTCTAATGAGGATCTTGTATTGTTACTGATTCTCAATAATTTCATGGAATTATGTTGTCCAAATGTGCCTTCTGATGCCAAAAAAAAAAAAAGAAAGAAACGAAAAACCTGTCTCATTATTTAAACACAGTTGCTTGATCTAGCACATTTCCCTACTTTTGGAAAAGTCCGACATCCTTTAAGGAAATCATCTTATCTGTAAAGGGCTTCCTTTCCCTCAGGGTGCCACCTCTCCCAGGTACCCTGGTATAATGAAAACCGTAGGCAGATTCGTTTCTAAATCATTGAACAATTTCTGTATTTCCTCCCCTTCTGAATTCCAGCCTGTGTTCCTCTCTCCGCAGGATTAGTGATTATATGGACCTGACCCCTGTAGACATTGTAGGGAAGAGATGCTATCACTTCATCCACGCCGAAGATGTTGAGGGCATCAGACACAGTCACCTAGACTGTAAGTACCTCTTGTGTGTGGGGACAGCCTGGCTGGGGTCATCTTTCTCTCTCTCTATCTCTCTCTCTCTCTCTCTTCTCTCTGCTGTCTGTTTGGTTTTGGTGCTGATTTCTCCCTGAGATGACTGTCAGCATGCAGGGGAGGAAAAGTGAGACATAAATCACTTCAACTTGTGTTGGAATTGGATTGCAAGTTGGAACTCAGGCCCAGAGAAGTTGCTGGATTTTTAGGCCCTCACATGGGATGTTGTGGTCTCTTGTGCTCTCTCTCCCATGAAGTGAAGGGGGAACCTTTGTCTTAAGTGCTTTCTTGACCCTTTCATTTTCTAGAGAGTGAGTTCCACTCTGAAATTAGTGGTCTCTGTTGCAAAATATATGTGGGAGAAGACAAGTTCAGACAGACCAGAGCCTATAGCAATTCCTACTTGACTGACCACACAACCGGGGCAAGGAGGAAGCCAGACCACAGGGGCAGAGCACATCGTGTGGACACGGCAGCTCTTAAAGGCAGTGTCTTTTCACTGTTATTTCTAGACAGAGGGTTATTCAGGGGGACAGATACCTCCATCTCCTGACTCCCAGGAGAGAGGAACTCATCTCAGCATTTTGAGTCGATTCCCAGCTCCTGATTCACAAGTTTAACCTCCAAGGCATCTTTTTTTTGGCATTTAAAGAAAGGAAGACCAGCAGTGTTCTGCCCAGGTCCAAGCAGAAGCCCCCACACTAGTGTCCCATGCAGTTTCCCTCATCAAACTTGGTGGGCCGTTTCCACCGTGTGTGGAAGGGCTCTGACAATCCCCTGAGACATGAGACATGGTCTGCAGAACCTCTGAGGAAGAGCCTGCCCCTTTTCCAACCAGAAATCCTTTTTATGAACAATCACCAGACTCTTCCTCAAAGACGAGGGCCCGACAAGCTCATCTTCCTAGATGGTTCTAAACCTAGTCCTGAACTCTGGTTTTAAATACATGCAGGGTGCCACAAATGAGATAGGATGGCTTGACGATCATGTTTTCCTGGTGGCCCTTCAGTCTACTTCCTCTCCCCTTTCCTGGCGTGGCTGAGGAGAGCCGGCTCAGGTCTTTCCTGCTCTTCGCAGTTGTTTGCTCGTTTTAAACTCACATCTTCCAAAGCATAATGGCGGGACGGTAAGCCAGCCAGAGTCTCAAAGTGTGAGCATCTCGTACTGTTTTTTACACCTGCATTAGCAACACGGACATGGGACCTAGTTCAGTGTCAGGTTTTGTACATATCATGTCTCTGGGAAAAGCCTGCCTGCGAGGCCGCTCTCCAGCAAATTCTGCTCCCGACACTGAGCGCGTGCCTTGGTATTGCACACCAGGGATTTAGGGAACACACTTGTTGCTAAGAATGAATGGGTGTTGTACATCGCAGAAGCAGATGGCTCTTCAATTAATTGGGGGAAAAAAATGATGCTGTTTTCTGAAAAGAAACATCAGGTTCTTTGTAGCTGGGAATTTAGAGAAGATGGAGAAAAATCAAGATCTTTGGATGAAGCTCTGAATGTATTTGTAGACCAATGTATGCCAGAGATCCAGACTTTAAGAATGAATATATTGTTTTTAGGACGCTGTCATGGACCATGTGTGTGGGGAGAGAAGGGTGCTTTTTCATTTTGGAATCTTAATTGAGGTCTAACTTCAGAAACCTGGTGCTGACAAAAAAGAACTATGTCATCCTCAGTTATTATTTGGAAAACGTCATGCTATCTCTCTGGGATTTGATTTACAGCTTGAAGAAACACAATTCCTCAGGAACAGTGAGCTAGGGCAGTTCATTTCTTCCCATGAAGCAAAGGTCTCCAACAAATATGTTTGATGCCATTCTTTCCGATCTACTTTTATCTCATTTTCAGTAACCAGAATAATTTGAGAGGGCTGAAAATCAACTCTGCCATTCACTATTGTGCTAGTCCCCTAATTTTGCTGGTATCTTGCCAACTAATAAACAGAGAAGGTATGCTTTTAAATTCTGTGATTTTTTTCATTACTTGATATTGACATACTGGCTATTGCTTTATGATTTAGCCTACTAACAATGATTGAGTTCACTCTTTCAACTCATACACACGACTTCTAATTTTAAGTTCTTTTAATAACCTCAAACACAAGAAAAACAAATAAAATGAGCTGATAATTCTGCACAGTAAAATACACTTCACATATTTAGCTATCATGCTGTGGAATAACTCCACAATGTCAAGTAGCACACAATTAGTAAAACTGTAGGGGGAGGAAAAGGAGTGTTTTGATCCTGAAGAATTTTGATCCTAATCAGATTGAAATTTCAACGTTCTTGTAGTGCTTAATATCTTCAATCACACACACACACAAAAAAAAAATCAAACTGATGCCAATGTCAGGTTTTGCATTCTGTGACTGAAATAAAATGCTAAAATATACAAATGCATCTCGCTTTGTACAATAAACATTAACATCATTATAAAGTAAGATTGAGTCTAAAATTGTGTGATGGAATGTCTGATGTTTACCTAATTCTCAAACCAAAGCCAGCCCAGTAACAAAATGACAGAGCATGTAATAAGTCTTGGTTGTGTAAACACTGGAAGAAAAGGCAAAAAGCCAGCACAGCATCTTGCTTGTCCAAAGCCCTAGGCTATTACTGAAGGATGCCTCAACTGTACCTTCTTGGCAGAAGAAGGTCATGGTGACAGAGAATCAGCTCAAGAGTAAGACAGAATTCTAAAACAAAGGGATGGTTAAAAAATAAACCGCATTAACTATTTAGCTTTTCTTCCTAGAGCTATTGGCACAACTCCTGTGCCTGTGCATGAAAGACAGGTTTTAGCCCATCTGATAATATTTCTGATATTTTGATATCTGTCTTATGTTCCAGTTTATGGATAAAACTTAAAAAAAAAGACTCCATAGTCTTTGATAACTCAAAATTCTATCTTTATCACTTATATCTTTTTCCTAGCATAGGCATCTGTAAATCCGTAGATGAACTTGTCTCTAGAATAAGAAAAGTAAAAGGGAATCTCAGCTGCATCAGGAACTGGCAACCTCCATCAGTTGAACCAAGAACTTTGGACCATTCACTCTCCCACTAAGTTAACATGAGACGCCTGATAGTACACTGGCTTTCAACATAAAGAATCACTAAGAATCGCATTATCTATACCAACATGGTGGGTGAGTGAAATTATACTGGGATTCTAAGACCAAGGGGGTTGTAGGACCTCTTCTTTCACACTGTGACCAAAGACCTCTCTGATTTTTTTCTCCTTATGCTACCTCACTGGAGTCATTGAACCCAATTTCACTGATTCTCCAGGGCAAATTGACACAATCAACATTTCGAGGTTTGAATTTTAAACTACTCATGTAAGCAATTATTTGAGCATCTTTGCCTAGCAGTCTCCAGTTCTCCATTGCTCGGGAGGTACCGATCTCCAGCTGACTGATCAGGTCTCCCTTGAGTCCGACGCCCCGGTTAGCTGGAGCACAGGAGAGCAGCGCCACCATCTACTACTCTACCTCTGCCGCCAGCCCAAATACAGACGGGCAAGCCACGAATGCTAAACCAAATGGAGAAACAGGTTTTGCATTTCTCGTTTGTCCCTTTTAATCCAACCTTTTGTCTGTAGAAGTTGCTGGATTTGTCTTAAGATATCCCCAGGGTCCTTTCCGGGTCAAATGAGCAACTCTCTCAAACCTAGAAAGAGTGGTGGAGGGAAACTTCTCTTCCCTCTATGATGTGCTCCACTAGCAAGGCTTGAGGCTCTGCAGCTGTGGGACGTTAGTGAAAAGGAGCCAGAAAGGATAGAAGTGGTAGCGGTTCTCCCCTCCTAGGATGCTACCCAGGATGAGGAAACTCTGGAAGAGTTCTTTCACCAAGAAAGAAGGACTTCCAGCTTGTCTGTGAGAGCCTATAGAGAAAGCATGGCCCACCCGATATATTTGGGGGAGCATTTAAAAAAAAATACAGTAGCCTCGGTCTTTATTTCTTAATTACAAAATTTTATCCTTCTTGACAAAAGTCATGCACAGCTACCTGGAAGAATGCATTGCATGCTGTTTTGCATCAATAACCCCTACGCTTCCCTCCTGAAGGCGTCTCATCACCAAATGCAAGCCGACTGCTTAATGCAGGACTAATTAGTATATCCCCTTCCAGTCTGCAGGCCCTCCATTGTAATTCCTTCCCAGCTCATTTTTTTCCACAACCGAGCATCAATCAAAGTAAGTGCCCTGCCTGCCTCGGAAACACAAGATGTCCTCCATGCATTTGTCATCTGCCACACAAACAAAGGGGGAATTTAATTGTTGATCTGGGTATGCAGCCACCGCACACAGTAAAGGAAGCTGCAGTGTGGGGAGAGAGGACGGCGCAAAGTTTGGTGGGTGGGCCAAGTACAGACAGCACAGAAGACTTCTTTCTATTCTCTGATCTTAGCCTTCTTCGGAGCGGGGCCTTCGGGGATTTGGCTGCGACCTGATCATTGGCTGGACCTTTTCCCAAAGCAAATGAGCTTTTCCTCTTCTTCCATATGAATATGAAAATGCCCCTGAAAGATGATGTGTGTTACAGCTACCACGTCAGATTGTTTTCAGAAGCCAAGTCAGTCTGCATCATGTGCCTCTCCATTAACCAAGACGGATTGTCACATGGAGACAAAATAAAGTCAGGGCTTTATGCAGAAGTGAATTACCGGTATTATTTTACTTCTTTTTTTTTTTTTTTTTTTCCTTCTTTTCAGGAAAGTACCGATTTTGGCTTTTCAGGTCCAAAAGCAGGCAGATAGAGAACAGAGACCAAGAAGGGCCTAACTCTCAGCTGAGTGTCCTTGCTCCCCTGCATTACAGAAATGCCTACCCCCAGCTTAGTGAGTCCAGATCTGTGATTAACAAGATCTCTAGCAGACTCCCATTCAGGTTAATGTTTGAGGACTGACTATACTAGAATGTCAAAAGCACTCTTGTACATGAAGTAAAAGTAAATACAGACTGATTAATA